GCACTCTATTATCGCCTACACATGCTCATGCAACAGGGTTTTCCACCGCATATTTATCATCATTGAAGCCACTAGTGGTAAATTTTCAGCACGCCATGCGTCAGCAAAACACCGAGCGTTTGGCGATCGTGACCCTAACATTGGTGAGAGGTGACCAAGCAGGCGGCGACCGAATGAGTCCCAATCCGAGCCGTCATCAGGCATAACATCATCAGGGCACGCGGGAACATACACGAAGCAGTGGCTTCAATCAGGCGCCAGTACAGCTGGCCGAATGGCGCCTGGGGCCAGAGGGTGATCAGATAGCCGCCTTCCCTTCTGGCGCAGCTGGTACCCAATCTTAGGAGAGGCAAGGAACTCGGCACTAATTACGTTATGGCGTCTCTGCTCTCCATTCTGCGGGACAATTCATTGCTTTCCGCGGCGGTGCTGCGCACACGCCGTCAGCGCTGGCCGACGCCGGTGCGCTGTCTCTCTTCAGCCGGCCAGGGCCGCCGACCGAGGCCCGCTGAGCGAGAGGGCTGAGAGCTGGCCAGTCCGCGCGCGGCGAGCACCGGGTGCTTCGACAAAAACGGCGCGCCGCCGGCAAAAACACCGCGCGCCCAGCACGCGTGACCCCAGGGCGAGCGAGCTGGCAGCGGCCGGCAGCTGCTGCGGCGTCGTCTGCAGAGCCGCGCTGTCGACACTTCCCGTGGCGGGCGCGAGACCGGGGCGCGGAAGGAGATGACCGATGGTCCGCCGCCCGCGAAATGTGCGTAGGAGACGTCAGAGACGCTTCGGTCGATAATTCTGCATAGGTGGGAATTGAGTGATTTATTTTGGGACAGCACAGCACCAGCTGGAAAGTTCTAGGAACTTTTGCTAGCAACAAACTGGGCACGAACCGGTGGAATAGAAATCAATCAAACCGTTCACTTATCTTCCGTAATGGTCCTAAAACACCATTCCGACAGACACTGAATTTTCCCATTCATTCCCCACCCTTCGACCACTCAAAACCAGATCAGGTGTGAACCGCACGACCCCAGCCCCAAGTAACCGCACACTGGCCTGGGAGCGCGGCGCCGGCCGGCGGCGCCGGGCCGACGGCAGACGGGCGGCGGTGGAGGCCGGGCGGGCGGCGCGGATGGAGGGCACTGGCCGCTGCCAGCCGGCGCGCTCCGCGGCGACCGGCGGCGAGGGACGGCGGCGGTGGGGCCGCCGCGCTGTCAACAACGGCTGGGGCGCCGCCGGACAGCGCGCCTTAAGACCAGCGGCGGGACGGCGCGACCACACACGGCCGCCACCGCCGGCGGCCATGGGCCAACGTCAGTCGCAGTGGCCGACGCGTCATCAGCACACGGACGCGGACGGTCGACAGACAGGGAAATTGCGGAGTCATAGCCGCCACGGCAGGGCAACTGTAACACCAATACACAACTGAATGCAGCCGTCATACAGCCATCATACGGCTCACACAGGTAAAATATCCGCAGACAGATAGCACAGCTCTCTGACTGGGATCTCGATTGCCGGAGTTACTCTTGCGGTTCAGCATACAACGAGAGCAAAATCACGCGGGACGAGCGTCGCTGCTCGGGCGGAAAAGGTAAGGACACTGATGGCGTTTCGGTTCAGTTTGCATTATAGTCCGTTCTGCCATCATTGACCACTCCGGGGCTACGGGATGAAGGAAAGAGGAGAGTGGTGGAACGATGCTGCGGCCATCGTGGGAGACCTCCGGTCAGGAGTCTTATCCCGCCCAGGGACCCCTCTCCGGGGCATATGCCAGCTCTCTGGTGTGCCTTCCGTCAGAGACCCCTGACTGAGGCACATGACACGCTCTAGTGCGCCTTCTGCCCCAGAGGCCCCTGGTCGAGGTATATGTCAGCGCTCTGGTGAACTCCCGCCAGAGACCCCTGGTCGGGGTATACGGCGGCGCTCGGGCGACACTTAAGCCGGCTTATGGCTTATGGTCGCAGCACGCCCGGGATAAACGTGGCCTTGCAAGGATTCAGGATGAAGCGATAAATAAGGATAGAGGGGTGATGTAAACTGCTGAAGCGCTACAAGCATCTAACGATAAAAGGATGCAGACTAGCTCGCTAGTTTCACGGGTTCAGTTTCCAGAACCCGGACAAATTCAAAGGATCAGAGACAAATCTAATTAGCCCACAAATCTGGCTCTGTCACGAATTCAAAATCCAATCCGGCTCACTCTGTCATACAAAACTAGTTCCCAGAAGGGTGATAGTAGTTCATCACAGTTCAGCTTAACTGATCATAATAGTCGGAATTAGCAATTATGGGTGCATTTGTCCCTTGACATCTTTACATTTAAACTATTACGTGCAATGGAGCGAAAGTTTTCAAATCTGACCCAATCCTATTCCGCGTTTTATAACTCACGGTTGGATACCCTCCATATCCAACCGTGTGCCTTGTGCCGACCCGGTCACGACACCCAGACTTTGTTGGCGCCCTCCTCACCCGGCGGCAGGGCAGCTCACTTACACCCACCCTGCCGGTGGACATGGACCCAGACTTCCGGGCAGTTGACTCCCGCGGTCTCCGACAGGCAGTCGCCTTAGTGTTCCCTCCGGCGGGACGGATGCTCCAACATGGCATGCCTCGGCATCCGCAACGCTATATTGTCTTCAGAGACTTTGACATGCACCCAGCATACTTGTTTTTCGACGCCTGCAGCCAATCACCGCTTTCAATGTGATCTAGCGATGATAAAGAGCCGGCACGAAATGTCTGCCAAGGTAACCACGCATAACAATATAAACGCGCTTGCGCACTGCTTGCTGCTAGGCTCGGGAACAAACGTACAACGGCGAACGCATCTGGGCATAAAAACAGCCAGTTACCTGCTTAACAGCGGCGGCATGACCACAGATGAAATTGGCCGTCGTTTTCAGGGTGCCGGCGACCGCCGAGGCCATCAGCGCCGGCGCCGGCGTGTGACCGTACGTGCTCGGGTGGCGCGGGGAGCGACAGCGGCCGCCAGGTGCCCGCCGATGACGCCGCCGGTTATTAGCTGACCGCGTGGCGTCCGGGATTAACCGGCCGGCATCGGCACGCCGCCGGGCTGCGATCGATATCTCACGGCGCGGACCACCTGGCCGGGGCGGGGGTTGTGGACCGGGGGGGGGGGGGGTGCGAGGGCTGTGGTCCACTTGCGCCATGATGGAGCTGTGCTCCCTTGTGTCCAGCTGGCGGGTTGGAGCTGCCCCCTCCCTTCCCCCCCCATCGTCCCATACTCCAGATAATCCGCCGTCGATTGTCAGCGCTAGACGGAGCCTCCGCGCCGAAGCCGGGCTGAACGCGGCGGGATGTTCGCCATTTTGTCTTGAGTTACGACATCGTTATCAGCCCGGGTCATTATCAGCATTGCAGCACGTGGACGGCAGAGTGAATTTGAATCGCATAGCTCTAACATTGGATTGATATGCCTGCCGCTGTCTTCGTGCACTTGTTAAGCAGCAATGTGAATGTGAACAGCGTCGTCACCCATTACCGCGCTAAAGCGCATCAGGTGGAAAGGCATGCGATCGATGACAATGTCCACCAACAAGTCCAATGGCACGAGTTCAGTAACAGACAGACAGTGTCAGTGTTGGTGGACAGTGACAGCGACGCGGGACGACAGCGACGCTGCGAAGCCCTTCAGTGGCCCGGCCAGAACTCAGTCTTTGTTCGCCGCTCCGGCCGCCTTTGTTTCGCATCTCACGCTTAGCCCAGCGCGCTGATCCTAAACCTCCCCTCTCAGATTGGATCGAGGGACTGACCCTGAGTTTGGACGGTCCGCCTGCAGACAGACGGAATGGGGGCAGGCCTTGCAGGCATAGCTAAATCACCCTACACTATGAATGGCGCCGTCTCGCGAGACGTCGTGTCACGAAATCCCTTCCGTCTGTATGTCCGCAGTCTTGCAGTTTCAGCTTACCTACGTGCTTCCTGATGCATTTCTGGCCGGGTCATGCCAATGAATGACTTAAATTGTGTTGGTTGCTGACTTGTTTCAAAGGCGATGTCGCTTCCACGCTGTGTTTGAAGGGCCGATCACTTTTGACGGTTTGGAAGGCTTTAGTGCTGCCGCCACCTGTACGGGAGGCATGCCCGAACATTCCGCTAAATACATACAGTCAATTCACAAACCAAACTAGGGCGAAGACCAGCTCTTAAAGTCCGCGATGTACCAGCAAGCTGGATTTAGTCGCCATTTTTACCCCGCCTCGGGCAGCCATTCCCTCGCCAGAGCCCAATCAGCCCACTCACGAGGGGTCAATTTAGGGCCGCGTACGGCAGTCCCATCAGCCGTATGCACATCTCGCACACCAACTGAATTGGCCTGCTCCCCGATGAGGTCTCTTAGGTCGCTTGTCAAGGTTGTGGGACTTCAGTATGCGAGAAAAGCGCTGGGAAAATGCTTGGCCGTCGGTCTGCTGCATTAGTAGCGAGAATTCGAAGCGACTACAGTCCCAATGGCGGAGACAGCCCGTAGTTTACGGCCGGCCAAGCGAGCTAACGGCTCAAGTAATTGTTCCGCCCGCGCGCCTGAAGACTTCAACTCTACAACAGGACATATCTTTGAACCCATGATTCAATGCATCACAGAAAGGAAGCGCTGGAATTTAATTAGGCATTTCCGTTGGATGACTGGTGAAGGCACTTGGACGTCAGTCTGCTGAGCCTTTAGGCGAAACAAGCTGCACATATCTTGTCAGATAGAAAAAAGACACTGGAACAACAATAAAATGATCCCGTTGATCACTATAGGGACAAAGCCATAGCTATGCTTTGTGACGTGGATTCAGCAAAAAAATGATGTGCATGTCTCATGATACAAGATACCGCACGTAAAACCTTATCGGGTGCCAGATCTGTCTGGGCGCCCATCAGCCCCGCCAGCCCTCTTTTCTCTCCCGGAATGTCGTTAGCTGAACCCAATAACAAAGCCGGCTGCAGCAGCTGACCATTGTCAGTCTCGTGCGGCCCCAGGGCCGGCTCCTCACCTGGGCATTGGCGCTCCCAGTCCGCGTCGGGCCGTGCGCCGAGCTCGCCGGCGCGGCGCCCCGGCCGCATACTCTCACCACACCCGTCACCACACGTGCGCGCCGGCACGACCGGTGGCACTAGGCTCCGTCCGACGGCACCACTTCCTCGACACCACTCAGCGGCGACGCTCGCCTCGCAGAGGAGCCCGCTGGGCGCGCGGCCGGCCTGGGACGCGCCGCCCGACTGCGGCCGAGCGCGGCGCGCACGCACCTCTGCCGCGCCGGTGCCCGCGCGCCGCCGTCCGCCGCGGCCGGCGCCCAGGAATGCGCCGGCTCTGCCCGGCCACCGGCTCACCTGGGCGGCGCGCCGGTCGCCGGCGGCGCAGGGGGAGGGGAGGCACTGAGGGGAGCGGTGCGAAGTGCCACATCGGTGCATGCTGTCCGCCGGTCTTGGAACTGGAATGGACTGATGGAGGAGGCCGGACGGAAATTGATTGCTGTTCAGACGTCTCCGTTCTTGAGTGACGTGTACGTGTGCTGGTGTGGTTGCGGCCGCATTTCTTGCGGGTCCTGGGCGAAACCGTAAAGCTTTTGCAGACGGCATATGTAATGGAAACTGCGGTAACGCAGGGGTGGGGATCAAACTTGTCGGCATGCCCCGCCATTGAATAGCTTCTATTGACAAGAATAGCCGTAGAGGAGGCCAAGCGTTTTAACAGTTCGAGGAGTAAGTACAGAACAGGCTTAGCACTACACTAGTTGCGCCTGGTATCTGGGTAACTTGTGTTCAAAGGCATCTATAACCGGAAACCATACATGGTTAGCGATGAAACACGCATACTCGGAGCTAATCTATTGCTGATCAGATTTAGTCAACAGTTAGTAATCTAGCTATTTTGTCGTCATTCTGTTCCGTCATGAACGTCATTTCTCAACTGTGTTGAAAGCCTTACTACCTCACTTACTTTCTCATGTCGTTTGGAAGCTGATGAGCGCCTATGCCCGGTTCACATGCAGGCAGTTTCCTTCATTGAACCGGTTTGACTGTGATGAAGCGGTTGGCGTGCGGAAGACTCAGTCGGTCCTGGCCTCACACTACTGATATACCCGCCGCACAGACACTGCCATCTGGAGAGAGCGTGATGCACTGGCGTTCAGTGCCTTGCCGCACGGGGTTCGAACGTTCCAAAGACACATTCAAAAACAAATAATAACAGCCCTCGCTCAGTCACAAGCCAAGCTTGAACTTCGGCTCTCTAGCTCTGTGACCAGGCCTCGACCCTTCAAGTAAAAATGGGGCAATGACTCGAGGCTTCTGAAAATTGTTGGCAATAAATGTGACACGCGACGGATTCGCCGCCAGGTTAATTCAGCGTCAGGCCTAGTATTCAGGGTCCATTCCCGAAGCTGGAAGGCTGGGGCCCGCGATTTACATCGGTCGAGGCCCCTGATACAAGGAAGGGGCCCCTGTTGCGATCTGGCGGCCACTGTGCATAAAAGGCTCCTGTATGGCAAGGAACCCAGAATCGGCCTGAGGCAGTGTTCGAGGCGCCCGCAAAGGAGCCCGAAGGCCCCTTGCGACCGACGATCAAGTGCCTGATGGGAACGTACAAAGGGCTGCGGTAGGCCACATTAAGGACCCTGATCTTAAGGGCCGGACCCTCAAATGCCAGTCAGAGAGTCTTGCACCGACTGGGAACACCCACGTAGAATGCGGGCCTCTATTTCGGCCAGAGATCACCAACAACGAGCAGTCAGCTCTGTGTCGGTCTGAGCCCTGGGAGCCCATTTCCTGAACAAGAGCAAGGCTGGAACCTGCAATTTGCATTGTTCGGGACCCCTGAATCAGTGAGGCCCCTGTGTCGGTTAGGAGCCATAGTGCATAATCGAGCAAGGGGCCCCGAGTCGTCGACAAAGGGCCCGAGTCGGCAAAGGCAACATTTCCTGAACAGGGACAGATACTGGGCCCAGAGTGCTAGACTGTTAGAGGGCGTCCAGCGTTGGTCGGAAACCTCTGACAATGAAAGTGGATATGGTCGTTTACGATGAGAGTCTGCAATGAAACAATGAAAAGCCGTGTGTCAGTCAGGGGTATCATTACAGAGCGGAGAGCTCTCCATCCAATTTCAGCCTGGGGCTGGTATGCTGAACTGGAGTCTCTGCGCCAATTATTGGACATCTGCTTCGATGAGGGATGCGTTTTGCGTCATTGAGAACCCCTGCGTTGGTCCAGGCCCATATTTCCACACCAGGCGGTCCCCGGCGTCAAGCAGGCGACCAATGTACAAACAGGCAAGCCCCTGAATCGCCAGAAAGATAGTCACTAGGCAACCCGGGCTGGGACGAAGCCACCCTTCAGCCCTAACTGGGAAGCATACTTTGCCCCAGTGTTCTACCCACTGGGTCCCTTGCCTGGGAAACGTTGGAGGTTTCCTGAAAGTTAAATAGGGCGTATCACAATGAGATAAAGTATGAGAAAAGGCCAGCACAAACGAGGACGTCCATCCGCGGGTGTTACTTGTATGCTTCCGAAGCGCCTGATCCCCCTCCCAATAATGCCTTTAAGAGAATGGTCCACATTTAAAGGTATTAAAGGAGCATCAGATATGATGAAATCAGCCCACTTGTGACAATTGGTGTACTTTTGAGCAAAAAAGACTGCTAAAGACAACCAATCTTCAATTGGATGGCACGAAGAAAATATAATCATTGACCTTGACCTTCATCGCATGAGCTACAGGTGGTAGGATTTGACTGACGTTGCTTTTGGGTCGTACATGTCTGGATGACATTGAAATAGTCTGCACAAAATAGCCTGCATATCGTCGAGGGTGTGTAGCTCAGAAACTAAATGGTTTTAATTCTTAAGAAGGCAAGGGCTGTGAACTGTATCAGTATTATTTTTTGTTTACGTTACGTTTTTACTTACGTTTCCCAGGCAAGGGACCCAGGGATAGAACACAAGGGGCAAAGCATGTTTCCCAGTTAGCATATGTTATTAGTGTCAGTGTATTGGAAATCATACACATAGTGCCTATTACGGTTTCAGGCCATGCAGGTGCGGTATGAAAAGGCACACACAAAAGGCACACAGTAAATGATGTGAGCAATGGTCAAAAAGCTTAACAGACGTATCAACCCACTGCGGGCCGGATCAGATGAGGGGTCAGTGGTTAAAATCACATCGTGTGTGACGGTCTTAAACGCGCTCGGCGTCGTGGCAAGGCCGAACACGGTGGAGTGCAACTGTAGCTCGATGCGAAAACGCCCGTTGTGTGGCGGTAAGTTGTTGTCTGCACAGGTGCAGATTGCCGCTGTTCGAGGCGCGTGCTTTTCGGCTCGAAAACGCGGTGCGCGAGACAAAAGACGCGCGGACCTCGTGAGGCGCGCCTACCTCCTTCAACGCCCTAAGCACTTTAAAACTAAACGTTAAACAGTTCAAAACTAAACGCCGTGGTGCGCCACCATGACTTCGATCCTCGGCCATCCCACGGGTTTAGAGCCAGCGATAAACGATAAGGCTTTCTGGAACTGGTACTTACTTTTGCAGCAACGTTCATCGTTCTTTTTTATTTTGTGTTGCTGACTCTTGGACACTCAACCCCATGCTCACATGCAGCACACGATATGATGGAATACCTACACCTGGTTGATGATTTTGGGAAGGTCTGAAGTAAAATAATGACGGAACTTGTACTAAGAAATGAGGTTGCCATTACATTTGTTCCCGACGCTCGAGACTTGGGCACCCCATGACAGACTATGACGCCCCAGTCAACCATAACGCTGAAAATTTTGATGCTAATTGAGGCATGCGCAGTAAAGTCTTTTAGTTTGAAACGGAAGTCAACTGACTTTCTGAAATTTTGCTTAGATCCAAGGAGCATAAAAGCAGTTTTTGTTTCGCTCATTTGGGGACAATTGGCAGTGACCAAGTTCTGAAGCTCACGCATGGTAAGTTTCAGTTTAATTTTGAGGTCGGCGAGGACCGGTCCGTCAGGGAGTGCGCAGTCTGTATACATGATGTCGTCAGCAGTGACGACCAATTTTCAGCAAGAGCAAGGCCAATTCATTTTTTTTCCCAGCAGGAGCAAGGCCGAGTGCCACGATTTACAATGGTCTGGGTCCCTGAAACAGTGGTCGGGGCTCTGTGTCCGTCAGGGGTCCACAGTGCACACCAGGGGGTCATTTGTCGGCTTGTGACCAATGGTCGGTCACGGGTTTTGTCTGAGGAGGTTCAAGGAGGGATCGGAGGGCACCTCGGGACTGCATATCAGTGGCCCAATTGAACTCAGGTCCGCCCCCCCCCCCCGCAGCCGTAATGCCGTGACTAGAAATGTCAGTCGGAGGACCTCTATAAGGGTCCTCTCTTCAGTTCTTTCTGCCTATATAGGGCTTCGACACGAAACCAAACGGTCGGTTTTCTGCCCGTCTGAGCCCCTGAGACACATTTTCCAAGCACAACCGAGGCCCGCGACCTGCAATGTTCGGGTCCCTGACACACAAGAGTCCCTGTACCGGTCAGGGGCCATAGTGCCAAACAGGAATTCCGTGGCAGCAAGTGGCCAGGGTTGGCCGGGAGTGGTGTTTGGAAGGGCCCGAAGAGGGGCCAAAAGGTCTGCTAGGACTAAATATCAAGTGCTGAATTGGAAGGCTAAAGGGTCCAGAGGTCTGGCAATCACATTAAGGTCAAACGAATTGTCATGTAAAGTCACATTAAGGACCCCTGCCCGTAGAGCCACGATCTCGAATGTCAATTAGAAGGCCTCTTGCACCGATTAGGGACCCCTGAAGCAGAGTATTCTTCTGTTTCGGGAAGAGATCATCAATGCCGGACAGCCGGCTCCCTGTCGGTCTGAGCTCTTAGGGACCATTTTCCAAGCATGAACACCGATATTCCCGCGATTTATATAGGTGCATTGATTTGTATTCCTATTTATGCTTGCGGTAACAATGTGGGGTTCCTGCATCGTTCAGGGGACCACAGTGCTTAACAGGGCATTCCGTGTCAACAAGGGGTCTCGAGTCGGGCAGGGAAAGACTTGCTCTACAGGGACGGAGATGGAACACCGAATGACAGAGCGCTTCTTGTGTTGGTCTCTGCCTTTCATTGTCCTATGACAACGAAAGGAAACATAGGAGCTTGTAATCATTGTTCACAGTGGACAATGAAAGGCTCATGTGTCAGTTAGGGCCTCATTGTCAAGCAGTTGACCCTTCAACCCAC